TTCGGCGATGAAGCCGTGACGTGATGAGGAATTTGAGGGAGGAATAAAGGTAAACTTGAATACATAAGCCATTGTCATAATGTTCGTAATAAGTGAAACTGAAGCTATCTGCCCCTTGCACCAACTCTAATCCCGCGACGTCACAGTGCAGTTAAAATGGCTGAGGTGTAACGGTTCCGTCTAGAAGTTAGTGAGTTTATCGTCGCCTTCCCTATGAATACCTAAGTGATTTTAATTTATACCTGCACGAGGGCGCTTGATTGAAATGTTTAACAAACGCCACTGACTGCATAATTGCACTTTGTCCTACATGAGCTAGTAAGCGCCGAAAACAAGAAATAATCAATAGTAAATGCCACTTCAAAACGATTTCCCAAGAACATCAATATTTAACTTAAACTATTATTTATTAAAACTTTACAAGACAAACCTACCATTTAAAATATGCAGTACAGTGTGCCACACTTTGACCAAAGATACAATTTTAATTTAGTTGAACACGACAAAATTGAACGGTTTTAAATTATTAACCAGTTGTGAAATCATCGCCGAGCAAATCGGTCCCAACAGAATCCACAACCATTACTAAACGGTGGCTAAAATTCAGTGATAAAATATACTTACTATAAAAATCGGAAATCAAATCAATTTACACAAACGCAACCAAAAGAGTTAAAGCGCTCTGTTGAAATAGTGATTAGATTTATTATTTCCTGTGATAGTCGCAGCAGAACAGAATGAAATTCCACTCGCGGTTTTACACATTTCTTACGGTTTTACGTTTCTGTAAAGAAAATCTAAATCTTATCAAAACTAAACAATAACACTCATTTGTAGATCAATGTAGATAGTGAACACTTCGGAGGTTTTAATAAGTTTTTCATAGCTCTGACAAAACCTCAGTCAATAAAGATCACTAAACAAGTCATGATAATGTAGAAATGCAAAAAAATTACTTTTGTAAAATTTGTGTTAAAATATACAGGATGATTTTGAAATACACAATATTAAACTGATACATTTAGGAAAGGTGTAGATACTATTAAAATTAATGTCAGTGTTAGATTAAAAAAATATAAAAAATTTTAAAACCCCTTAGAATACAATGTAAGTACATAATAATATAGATTGATTTGTAGATACTATTAAAACTAATGTCAGTGTCAGATTTAAAAAAAAAGATATTAACTGAAAAAACTTTGGAAAGTATGCGTACTGTTAGTAGAAAGAAAAAAATTTTTTCAGAATAACGCAAATGTAAAAAAAACAAAGTAAAAGAAAAGATCGTTTTTTATAATTATTAAAATTTTATTACAAAAGTATTTAACACAATGAAAAAAACAACGGTTTATAAAACAAAAAAGTAAGCAAAAACAAATTATACAAAAATAGATTTTAACAAATAAAAAAAATAAAACTCACATGTCTACAGGTGTTCGGTCACCCCAGCCAATAACAACTAAACTTACTTTTTTTTTTCAAAAACTAATTTTTCAAATAATACTATTCATTCCCCGTTTTCTTAGTAAATGCATCAAATTTTTTGGCAATTCGGTGTAGCCGGAAATGCTACCAAATTTAGTTTTTCAAACGGAACATCTATGTTTTTTGCTAGAAACAATAATAACTGGCATAAAAAATACGGTAAACCACTATTTATTCCATTTTACTTTTACATAATGCACTTAGAAAACAATTTAATTTTTTGAATTTCATTGCAAATTTTGCAACGTAGGCGGATTTTACCTGTCAAGGTATTCATGCAAAAAGCTATATGCTTGGATACCGTTAATTGTTTCTTTGACAAAGCCTAATTTGTCAATAAATCTTATTGAGATCTTTAATAATGGATGATATTAATTACGACGAATTGGTAGATCAGCCTGAAGTGTTTTTTAAGTGAAATAAAAATAGAGCGGAAGCTGAAAGACAGTATAGAGAAAAAACTCAAATAGAGTTTACCCAAATTGTTGTAAATCTTGTCGAATTAAAAAACAACTGAGACGAATAGGTTCGCAAGCTAAAAAACCTGTGGTTGAGAAAATAGAAATCTGAATGTTTTGTTATCAGTGGAAGAAAATCCAAGAGTTTCCATAAGAGCTTATCAACTGACAAATTAGATTTGTCAAACCAACAATTAAACTGTATCCAAGCATTTTTTTATTCACATCTTTCGTTTAAAATTAAAAATCTGGCTACGCGACCAATTTTCTTATACAATTCTAAGATTTAAGATGTTTTTTGATTGCATTGTGTTACGCAAAATGTAATAAATAGTGGTTTACAGTATTTTTCATGTCAATTATTATTGTGAAAAAAAAAACATAGGTGTTCCATTTGAAAAACTAAATTTGGTAGCATTTCCGGCAACACCGGATGTGCTAAAAAAATTTGACACATTTATTAAGAAAGCCAAGAATGGATATTATTACTTAAATATCTATTTTTTGAAAAAAAGAAGTAAGTTTAGGTGTTATCAGCCCTGTATATGTAGTTACTTGATACATTGCTTAGTTTTTATAATTTCTTAGGTAAACAGTTAAACATCTGTTTAAAATTGCGTAGTTGGTGAAAATGGTAAGTGGAAGTTATAAGAGAAAAGTAGAATATGGGTCGTCTGCGCTCGTGATGTGTAACGGTGGCAAACAATTTCAGTTCGATTGTCCTTGTCCGAGTATTGAAGGAGTAATGCTGCCCTTCAGTAAATATGCTCGAAATCCCATGAACCGAATCTTGCACTATTCTTTGTTGCTGGGTTTACTGTGACGCTAATAAATGCGGCTATTAGTGCTGACGTAGCTATAATAAGTAATGTTTCCATGTTATCGATACAGCGACATGACGACCTTTAAATGTCGTGCTGGGACGGTGGCGTCGTGGCAGCCCTGCGGCCCTCTGATCCTGCACTCGCCGACAACGTGACACCTTATTCACAGTGTTACGTGGTTGCTGAGCTTCGGACCGGCTTCCTGATCATGATGAAAGCTTCTGGTATTATGTGGCCTGCGTGCTATACTATCAAACAGAATGCTGAAATCCAGCAGTAGCGTATCGTATTCAACCCGTTAAATGCTAGCCAGCGCCCGAACAGGGATACCGACGCTCTGGGAGGTTCCGTTCTGAAACATCATTACTATTCAACTCACGGGTGCCACCGAACCGGGCACCCTGTCATTCTTGTCTTTCTATATACTATATACACCCTTTTTTGCTGAAGGAATGACAAAATTTATAGCTTTTCGTCGTCGTAATTATTTTTTTACAAACTGGTTCAAGGCACTACGGCTAAGAAAACTAACAGAACGGATCGCCTGGAAAATATACACAAGAAACAAAGCTCGACTTCAACATTTTCTCAAAAAAAAAATATTGATCGCGCCCTATACCAGGTGGATCATTAATATTTCAACACAAAACAGAACTTAATGTTTTGGTCACTAATGTACGTTATTTCCACGAGTAAATTTAATAATGAATTGACACTTTGTCTTTAACAATAATCGATTTCCCCTCTTTTGTGCTCAGTTATCTGAGTTCCTTGCTCCGTGTAGTCCTTTGATCTCACTTATAGAATTGTACCTATTTGCATATGATTTCCACTCAGTCTCATTAAGAAAGGTGAGACCAATTGTTTTACCCAATCTACACAAAAAACAACATTTTCCACTTATTTTAAAGCTACACCCCGTACACACAATAAAAGATTGCTTTAATTATTTATTCACGTCAAAATTTCTTCCTAATGTAATAAAAAACATTCACTAACACTGTTTAATAAATGAATGGCTAATAAAACGTACACAATTTAGCTATTAACATAATAAACCAAAATTTTAATGGTTGTGAATCAGAATAAAAAATAGCCTTAAAAATCAATATTCGAGGTATCTATATCTCGACATCCACATATATATCAGAATTCTAAAAACCTTCCATTCAGTATAATAATGCGATAACAGTATCTGCTTTAAATAAATCATATATCATCAATGCCCGAGACTCTTGTAATATCATTCAACCATATTCTTAAAGGTGTAGATAATTTTAATAGCGAATACAAACGCTGAACCAAAATTAAAGCAAGTAATAACATAATCTAGAATGCAAAAGTAATAAATCAATTAGTTAATACACCGTCGCTGTTTAGTTAAAAAAAAACAAATAGGTAAAACACATTTCACTTCAAAAACAGGCATGCTTTTTATTTGGGATGCGTTTATTTTAGACAAAGTAATTAACAGAATGGTTTTTAGTGGTTCAAACCTTCTCCAAATATTAGTTGTACAGTTTACTTGGTATTTAGTTGCGTTGAAAACATTTCTCTGAATACTACAAGAACGTTTCACTGCGGTTAAAGGAATTCCTCGTCTATGCCTTTTTAATTTATGACAATTGTATCTCGAATTACAATCGATTCAAACATTACTTTCGACTTTCGCAATACTTTAATTAATTGATAACAAAGTGGCAAAACACAAATTTGAAGTAAGAAAATTTTTCGTGCAACTGAATTTAAAATTTCTTTTAAAAAGAATAACTTTTACTCTTCATTTAACTTATTGGTTCGATTTTTTCATTACCATATCCTGCTTAAGATGCGAGACTCGCACTTAAAGTTTAGCTAAATCATATTATAAAATTTAAAATTGAAGTCGTTACTAATTTAACTTTGAAATCTTTTCAACAACCTAAAACTTAAATCGTTTTGATAGATTTTGGTGGGTCTTAGACTAAGTCATCTTCAACGTGTTATACTGCAAAGTAAAGCAAGTTGCCTATATCTTCAAGATAAAGAAGCAAGGTCAGGTCAGAATTTAGTACTGACTTTATAGCATTATTCTTCAAAATTTGTGACTGTTCCCATTTTTGGGAAACTTTGGAATATTTTGTTTGACATGGGTATGATGGAAGACAATGGAACAATACCAAATGGGACCCATAGGTCAGTCAGTGTTTCTGAAGGCAAAGCGGAGGGGACAGGTAAGCCTTCGCACACCTAATGGTAAAGAGGGAAAGTAGTCGCATCGTAAAGTCGGATATGGTTGAAGCGTGCGTTGGCAACAAAAATCCAAGTGTTTTATAATGTGTAAATAAAATGCCACGCAAGTTACTAAAATTTTTAATTCTCTTTGACAATACATCTTTGTTGTACTTCCCCGGACAGTTCTTATCAGGACGAGTTCTCATCGAACTTCAGGATGACACGCCTGCACTCGGTAAGAATATAAGATGAGCACTGTCATGTCTTTACAAACTCGAATCTGCAATGGCTACTCTTATTTTCCCGTCAAATTCTATTATACCATCTCATTATACATTCAAAGGCATCTCGCGACCCAAATATTCTTTCAGGGCTTAGCCCATCGTTACATAACAGAATGTTTATTTTAGTTAACAAATAGCTCATTTCGACCCACACCACGAACTACGTGGGCCTTTGATCCTACTCTCTTCTCACGCTTGATTAGCTTTACTAAAATAGGTAACCACTGATAATAGCGATTTGTATTCTTTGAGATAATTGCATTGCATACTAACATTGCGTCACGCGAACTATCGAAATTTTTCGCAAAAATGAGACCTTCAAGCATCGATCTTCACTACTTAGCGGTATTAACACAATTTTACTTGGTGATTGTAGGTTAGACGGCAAAGAAAGATTAATAAGAGTTATTTCATTCGCGCCCTATAGACCTATATTCCCACATTATCAATATTTCAGCATCGCATCTGCCATACAGGGTGTGTCAGAACTGGCACACCAGAGAGAAATTTCAAAAAAGTGTTTAAAATTCTGTCAAAAATTTTTGACATTTACTTTTTGACATTTGACATTTTATGTCTATTATGATGTTGTATATGTTTTTTTTATGATTATTTAGTAAAGGTTCAAAAATTCATCAAAAAACTCTCATAACTTTGGAATTTTTATATAGAATTTTTTTTAACATTTTTTCAATGTTCCTGATATCTTACCTTATATGGCATTTTTCTCTGGGGCGCAAATTCTGGCGCAGCCGGTATACTTGGATAATTTATTCCAATAATTGTTATCTTTCCATTTTTTAAATATTTGACAAACAACTTTGCGATTTTTATTTAACAGGTTCATTAACACTGACTTATATTTATTTGTTAAATTCATTTTCTTGAAACCAACATCCGTTCAAGCGTCCGTGTTTTGGTACTAAAGGTTGACATAAAAAGATTGAAAAGCAATATTTTAGGCGACCAATGGAGCGTTTATAGGTTTTAGAACAATCGTTTTCTACACCTGAATTTATTTATTTGGGGCTAATCCGCTAATCCGCATTTTATCATGTTCTTTCACTATTTTAAGATAAAACATATTGATTTCGCAATCGTTTATTTTTGAAAGAGTGATTTTTAAACATAAATTAATCAGCACTGATCGACATGTAGCAAACCTTTGTCACCTCCATATAATACGAAACGTTAATAGTGTATGACTTTCTGGCACAGTAATAAAAAGCTTTTTTTTCAGTTTTGAAAAATCGGAACTTAGTTTGAGTAATTTATTTAATAATTTGGTGCAATAAGATCACTTTACTGGAGCATACCATGAAAGCGTACCCTTTGGTCCACTGTCTTATAAAATCGCTCTTTAAAAGTGTTTAGGAGTAAGTGTGTACAAGAAATGTCAAAAGGCAAAAAATCGGTGAGGGTGCAAAGTAATTGAACAACGTGAGAACTACGTAATTGTGACTTAATTAGTAAGTGGGCTAATTAAGTTATTAATGAAATAATGTGGAATTTTAAATGCAATTGTAGCAGTTTAATTCTGTGAATGGCGTGTAGCATTTAATAAGCAAACCTTCGGTAACAAGAGACGCAAAAACCGCAGTTTCTGCTAATATTTCGCGGTAATTTCGACCCCGTGAAATGTGGGGGTGGCAAAGTGAGTACCCGATATTGCTTATCCAGCCAATTATTGTAAAATCTATGACGCAATAGTGTCTCAAGCCCCGAAAACTGTGAGAAAGCCCTGAAACGTACACGCGTTGTGAATTCACGACAAGCTTCTCTCTAATCAACATTTCCTGTTACACAAAGCCGAACGCTTTCCCTTTTTTAACCCCTATACACTGTCTGATCTGATAAAATCAATCATGAAAACATAATCTCTATCCCTTAAAGACTCGTGCCATGACTTGCCACCTCAAAAGTTGCCTTGATGGCGTAAATCTCTCATACTTGTGATTCAACTTTTATCACTAAGAAAATGGACCCTTTACGAAGTTTTAATCTAGTTTTTACCAACACGTTTATTATTATTTGGTGCAAACGACAGTATTTTTAACTTTCCGCCAGTCATTTTTAGACGAAGCATGCTTCTTAATGGAAAAACAACGCTGTCTTTATTTATTGCATTTTCCTTCACTTAATTTTACTTTTGCAACCCCTTACTACTTGAAAATCACTTATTAAACATCATGATGTTACGCTCAAAAAATAGACAACCTTTCACACTTTCAAACCGCTTCAATTTTACAAAACATCGTCGCAATAAAATATGAAAACAGATTGGCATGATGAACGATCCCTCACTGCTTCCGAACAATCCTGTCAAACATTTCTTTTTAATCAAATCAACCAAAGATACATTTCGAGTTTCAAAACAAAACAATGTTTTTTCACTTTAAACAAAACAATTATCTGATTTTCTGCCACAATACACAACCTACAATAAATACAAACAATTAAATTTTCAACACCTGTAATATTACAGTTTCAGATAATTAAATCATCACAAAAATTACTTTCTGGCAACTGAATAAAATCTGATTTTTGTTGGGTGATAGAAACAAGCAAACATTTTTTCTTTTGCCTTGTATTAGACCTTCAATCTTGTTTAAGTAAACCAACAATTGACTCATTTCGAACATGTAAAAACAGTAACAAAACATATAATTATACATAAGTGCGCAAGTGCAAATGCAATCCATGTTTATGTAAATGTGTTTGTGCTAGGATTGATTGATTCGCTGAACGTCCTATATAACCCTATTCAATGTATTTATGTGCAATTTTTGATAATATATGTATGAAAAACGACGCAAACACAATAAAATACAACAAAAGATACAGTAAGAAGAAAGAGGAGAACAATTCTCGGTAAAAATTATATTATCTAGGGTTGAGGCCAGATATAGCTTCCCAGACGGTATTCGATCTATGAGTAAATATTTTAGCTGACCCTGTAGGAATGCGTTATGAAAAATCAAAAATATCGGATTGCATGAGCAATGAAGCTAAAGGTCTTTCTTTTATATATAAACATCTTAAATATTAAAATATGTGCGACCTAATAGTCGCTTCTAATTTCTATTAATGGTTAAAGTGTGTTTTAAGACATATAAACACGACACGTTTGTTAAATTTAAACGACTTTTAAACGTTCAATTTTTTATAAAGACTTTAGTGTTTATTGCATTCCTGTAACGACTATTTAATATTAGAGATAAAATTGTAGAGGTAGAAACTTGTCGAGAGAAACAAACGAGCAATTTTTTGGATTTCGTTCTAAAAGAGTGAATTTAATGCACATAATATAGAGATTTGTCGTGTACATTTCGCTTTATCCTTAACACCCTTGAGGTTTTAGAGTACGGGATTTTTGAAATACCGTTTAAGGAACATCGATTTCGACTTTCACACGAGGCGACGTAAACTTTCTCCTGTAATATTCCCGTCAATAAGGTCAATTTTCAAGAATAATAACATAATGCCACATTAGGGTTTCTATGATGGACATTTTTACCTAAAACCTGCTTACTGCTTGCGTAATTTAAATTACTCGCATTGTGTAAAAATCGACGTTTCTTAATTATATCGTAAGTAAAAAATACGTCACGGTTAAGGCTAGGGAATAATATTGCCGGGGAATATTGCAAAAGCTAATATATTCACGGTCGCACCCTAAAATAAAGTTCGGCATAAATGCAGCAGGAAATATTACGCGTGCTTTCTTTATAGATATTTTCATTGTTTATTGTGAAGGCTTTGAATACTGTATTTCATCCAATGATAATATTTTCCGGAGGAAAGGCTTTCATTATATAGACTAATACTAATCTATTACCAGAAATACCAATACAGTAAAGTTAATAAATAAAAACTGGATTTATAAGGCAACAATTTGCGTTTCGGAGATGGAATGATATTTTGAATAATTTATGTAAACATTCAATAAAAACGTAGCAGTGCACTAATTACTTGACTTTCGACATGAAAGCTTAAAAGCAGGATTTTAAAATCTGACACCATCAGAAAAATCTTTCTGAACACATTTTAGTGTGTTCTTGAATCTAATAAAAAACACTCAAATTAAAACACGCATTATTTTGGTCCTCTGACAACGATAAGTGCTTTGTTAAAAGCACACAGCTTTCTTCATGATGTTATTTGATTATCCGGACGCACGGACTATAAATTCTCCACAGCGCTCCAATTAACTAATGTCGAAATATTTTATATTGCGGTGCATTTTCAGTACGAGCAAATTATCTGATGTCAGATGTTGTAAATTAATTATTATCGCACATAAACCAAGCGAGACCGTATTCCTTTGATACAGTAATTAAAATGAAGCCTACTGAATGTTTTCCCTTAATGTCATAATACACTTTATAACATCCAAGCAAAAGAAATTGATCCATTTGACCGCACAACAAATATTAAACCGAAATCTAATTTGGATAAAGTTTTTTTGTTTGAATTGTGTTGTACAGTTGTAATGTTGATAGTTTCTGGGAACATGACTTGATTTGAATTAAGGAACCAATAAAGGGGAGGTTTTACGGTTGAAAAGTAAATTACGTTTAAATGTAGGTAGTGCAAAGTTCACAGCTATACGTAGTTTAATGCGAAATAAGAACAGCTTTATTCTGCAGACGTGGTAGCGTTGAGGATGTTTTCGTAAGTATTCCGGTTTGGATTATAACATTAGAATGAATGGCAAATTAAAACATTTTATTTCATTAAATGAAAGTATCCATTTTAAATATAAAATTTCAGAAGTAATAAAATGATGTAAAAGGCACTTAAAAAAAGAAGATCGATATCAATTTTAAGAAGTCAAGCTCCTTTCTTGTCTTTACCTGGTTTGGTTTTCTTTTTAAATTGACTTTAAGGCATTATCCAAAACAGAATTTCTTGGATAATGTTATTATGTTAAAAGCAAGTTTATTTTTAATTTAAAATAGCTGGCATATGGATGTTCCCTTTTCCTTCAAAAATGTTTCAGTATTCAGGTGTTCAGGTTACAAATTTCATCAAGAGAATAAAAACGAAAAAATAAGTTACGCCAACGAAGATCGACAAGATAATTTGGTAAATAAGTTGAGTACTTTTAATTAATTGTTAAAACTCAAGTTTTAATTTCGAGAATGATATTTGTTTTATTTTGATTTTAAATTCCAACGATTAAATTGTCAATCTTTCTCATGTTCGCGTAATGTAATGTGAAATATTTCAAAGTTAAAAACTTTCTATGTGTAAGGAGATTAAAAATACTTTACATGCAAGTAAGTTTGCAACGTTCTACAAAGTTTATTTACACTAAAAATTGACTTAATTAAATTTTTCAGTTCTTATTGATTTTCTTAAATCAATAAGTCCTATAAATAGGGAAATGTTAAGTTGAATTTTGTAAGAATATTTCAGCATTAAACTAATATGCCTTTACAACATTGGTTCTGTTTCACCCTCAAACTAATTATTGACCTGTCGTGCCGACCATCACAACACCTACATAGGGCCATGTAATGGAATGAGGCGATAAAGTGTCTGCCAGGCAGCGAATACCAAATACGAATTATTCTTTTTGTTTTTGTAGCGAATAAAATTCAGATTTAAAACTTTTAGAATATGCATGCCTATTTTGAGTAAAAACATAAAATAACTCAAGTTTATGAGTTACATTGTTATCAACACAAATAATTTATATAAGCACTCATGTAAGCAGGAAATAAAACTGTCAACTTTGTTAGTAATCTATTCAATTAAGGTGAGGTAAAATTCTTTTCATAGGAATGCAAAAAATAAATCAAAATTAGATGAAATTAAAATTTCACACAAGGATACTTGAATAAGGGTCTTAGGAAAAATAGCGTCACCTCCTAAATTCTGATTTCGGCTTGATACTATAAAACATTCATTTGAATGTGGTGATTTGCGGCTTTAATAACCCTTTTTAAAAGATCACTTTATTTTACATCATCTACATTCCATATTTTAACAATTTATTTTCCATAATTAAAACAGATGCGGCCACAATTTTCAATATATTCTCAGAATGAATCAAGCGAAGAATGCGACATGATAATCATTTTGATAACAGTTCGTTCCATTTTTATCACACAAATTTGGCGAAAGTCGTGATAAGATTTATCATTACTTAACCATTTCAGGTTTAAACGGACACTCTAATACGTATTTCTACAAATTGTGTAGTGATAAATGCCTACATTTCGTACATAAAACGGACATAAAATGCAATTATAAAAGGGCGGAATACTCTAGCAAAGAAACTCCCGTGAGAGCTCGATTTACGAAACGTGCATTTAAGTTAGAAAGTTTTAGGTAGAGATTTCTTTTAGTTAAATTTGTTTCAAAAATTGTATGCTTTATTAAAAAATATACAAAAAATGCAAAACTCTACTAACTCCAATAACCAATCAATTTCCCATCACAGCGAAAATTATCAAAACAACACCTTATGTGGAAAATACAAACAGGGATTTAATTCAATTTGTTTGGGTTTATTGATAAAAGCTCATCACAATTCATAAATGGCTTTTTTATAGTTCGTTTATTAACAACGTACGAATTTTAAAACATGCTCACGTATGTCTCCACCATAAATTTTTTTCAAGTTCTACAACTTTGATCAATGTGGCGCGTTTATAGATCTGTTTACACAATACGATAAATACGGCTTACTTTTCCCGCACAAAGTATCTACATTGATTTTTCAATCGTGTGACAAACGTGTAGAGATGCAAACACGTTGCCGGCTAATCCTATTTCAAGAATTTCGTAATAAGAAAACCAAAACGAAGAACGACTTATCCGATTTTTAAATTATGTGCAATTTACCGAAAATATTAGATTAAAAAGTTCATTTTTCGAGTTATATCCTCAAATCGTCCGCAATTCGATCAGTCCAGGTTCCAGAATCTGATTCACCAATTTTCGCCCTCCCGGTGTTAGCAAATCCAGAATTCCAAGTTGTTTCTTTTACAGTTATGCAAATTGTACGACGTTCATTTGTGCAGGTTAACAAATAGAGAAAAAATGAGACGAACTGAGCTTCAGTTACGCCCGGTATAACTCTGAAATTTGTCGCCGTTATTCGGGTGATGGTTTCTTCAAAATACAGTATGAAAATTTAATGACAATAATAATAAGAGATTAGGGCGGTTCTTTTGGCCTTTCATCGCGAGACATTTCGTAGCCACCATTTCCAGGAGCAATTTTTCTCAAGCTCCTTTTGACGCATCCTTTCGTCAAGGACCTCAACCAAAGCAAATAGAAAACGAGCAATTAACATTTTTGTTTTGTTTCGCTAAAACCGAGCTTTTTCAACAACTTTTAATCGAAGCAATTTATTTATTGCTCATTATAAAGCTCCCACATGAATAATTATTCAAATTCGGGTAAATAAAGTACAAAACATCCAATACTTTATAAACACATGTAATTATTTATATTGAAAGTTTTTTTTGAAACATCAAAGCTCGCCGAAAAATCCCTTTCAATCTGTATTCAGGTTTTAAGTTTCAAAGCTGTTGATGATTTAGAAAATATCAAACATGTTGTCTCGCACCAGACGTTTTTATTGCTGAAAGCTCTGTTTCTTTGCGACACCACAGGTGATTAGATTTGTTAAAAAAATCACTAATCTGAATGAGGATGTAATTGATTGCTATTGCAGGTAAATATGCAATAGCAAAAATTCCACATATTGCATTGGACAGACCCAGTGAATCATCGAGGAATACAACAGTAACTCAATTTTGTATATATGTTGTTTGTGGTTGCAGTACGTGGTTTCGTAGTGTTGTAGCTTGAGATCTATGTTCTTTTAATGCGATAACTCATAAAGGATTTGACAAATTTACATGATTTATACAGTCAAAAGTTAGCGAGAAGTTCGGTGCAGTACTAAAGTAGTCCATTGCTGCTGCTTCTTGAGCAGTGAAACAAATTTTTTCAATGACAAATTATCTCCGTTTTTATGTCTTTCAAATAAAACAAAAATAGCTTGAACAAATTATTCATTTCATTTGCATATATCCGTCTTAGAAGTTATAATTCTTCCGTAATTTCGGCCATTCATCGTCTAAATTCATTTAAGATTTCATTTAATTATCTTTTTATTTACACGGCTTTTCACACTGCCTTCGATCGAAGTAAAACTAGTTGATCATTCCTAAAGAACGCTTCTTGCCTTTATGAACATTCAAATGAAAGAAAATATTGACTTTGGAGTATCACAGTGCCCTCTACGACCCCAGTTTGATGAAAATACGAGTAGTTTTCCATTTTCAGGTCTACATTTTCACGTGGTGGGGGAAGGAGTTGTGCGAGTTCGAAGTTCTCGCCAAGAGAGGGTGTACGACAGGGAAAATTACATAGATTTTAGAATGCGGTTGTTGGGCGAACCTGGTAAAAAATGCTCCAAGCAAAACAATTTCATTATAAAAATTTCTAGGACAAGGTCCTTCAGTATTATCTCCGGGAATTCATAGTTTCCCTTTCAAATTGGGGCTTCCATTGGGTCTACCTTCAACGTTCTTGGGAAAGCACGGATGGGTGCAATACTTCTGCAAGGCAGCTTTAAGGGAACCAAATGGTCTAACCCACAAGAACCAACAAGTATTCATTGTGATGAACCCCATCGACCTGAATTTAGAACCTTCAACACTGGGAGTAAGTCTACTAACAATTTTACTAATTAGCCGATTTTAGAGCGTATTTTATTAGTGAATTATTATTAATTTAGAACATTTCGGGACAGGAAACATTTAGGTGCGAAGTTGAACATAAGTTTGGAGTTAGTTGTGTTGGCTCAGGATCGGTCGTCTGTAAAGTCACTCTTGATAGAGGCGGATATGTTCCTGGGGAGAGTATAGGTATGTATTTTTCTAAGACAGGTGTACCATAATTAAAACTTTCTTTCTATCAGGTGTTACCGCCAGTATTTATAATAGGAGCAGAGTAACAATTAAGAGTACCAGGGCAGCTTTAACAGAAAGTATAACTTATATGGCACGAGGCAAAGTCGTTCAATCTGAAAAGAGAGAATTGGCGTCTTTAGCAAGAGGGAAAATCCGACCAGGAGAAAAAGACGAGTGGATTAACGAACAACTTTACATACCACCATTACCACCGACAAATCTCCGAGGTTGCCATTTAATTAAAGTCAATTACGATGTTTACGTAAGTTGAAGAAAACTGCAAAACGTTTCCGCTAATTAAACTCGTTTTAGTTCATAATAGAACCGAAGAATCTTCAAAAGGAAGTTAAACTCCAATTACCGATTGTGATGGCGACTTATCCATTGCGATCTGAAGATGACAATAGTGCCTACAAGTCGGGAACACATTACCCCTCTACCCTACCCATATTCAGGCCTTGGCTTGAAGATAAACCAACAATCGATTGACATTTACAATAAGTTAGATATTTAATAATGTATTCACGTGCCAATATAGGTATAACATCTATTTTATCATAAATATTACTGATATTTTAACTTGTACAAATTGTGCTTTGTTTGGAAATAAAATATATAAATATTTTCAGTTGCTTCATCTCTTTCCGTATCTAAAACAAACAATTAACATTCCCTCCATCAAAAACTACTTTGTTTACAGATAATAGATGCAAGTGATTTAGTCAGTTCAAACCTTTAAGACGTCATGATTACGATAAGTTTGTGACCTTTAACCAGACAACAGATACTAACAGACATCCTTTTCAACTGAGTTAACATCGTTCAGTTGTACTTAATTAAAGCTACTTATACAGTGAGTGATACAATGCGTAGTTTAAGCATCTTTCTATTTTTGCTTTCTTTGAACTTCTGTCACAGTAAAGGTATGAGAAAAGCACTACAAACATATTAAAATAGTTACTTTGACAATTTTAGTATCAGATGCGCAACAACAAATCATCCAAAAACATGAACAGAAAATTAGTGAACAAATTCTCCAAATCTTAGAGCATTACAAGAAGGATGATCCTGTGGGAATCCCCGGTGCGCCAGTCCCCGATCCCTTGTTGATCCCCCCCTTAGCACATTCATTTTCTTTGGGAAAAATGAATTTCGAAAACGTAAAACTGTATGGTTTGTCCAAATTTCGAATACATCATATTAAAGCTGACATAACTGTGATGAAAGTGGAAGCCGCCTTAACGATTAAAACACTAGACGTTAAAGGAAATTACACGCTGAGAACTTTCATGTCGTCAGCCAAAGGTCCATTTACTGTGAAACTAACCGACGTGTATGTAAAAACCATAGCAGCTTTGGAAATCACAAGAAGTGGGCAGTTGGAAGCTCAAGATATGGATATGGATATTACTTTTAAAGGAATCGCTATGGACTTCAAAGGATTGGGATTTTTCGCTAACATGTTCCAAGGAGTTATCAATTCTGTGGGTACCTTCATCTTTGATTCTATCAAACCGTTTATTTTGCGTGAAGTCAACACGAATTTGAGGAATGATGTCAATAAGCAAGTCAGGAAAATTCCCCAGAAGTTTCCCAATTCAATTTCGCCTTTTGATCAGCTTATTATTGATATCCGTCACAAAATTAGAAATGCCAAGTATGATCCCTACAAAGTCAACGATTACAATACTAGTGTTGGTGTTTTTGATGTATACATGAGACATACTTGGTTGTATGGATTATCTTCAATTCATAGAGTCGGTGATATAACTTTTGAGATCAAAAATAACAGTGTGTATGCACTTCTTGAGGTTGGGACGCAAAAGATGGAAGGAACAAGTCATTGGGAAGTTTCTCTGATTGCTGGGTTTATGTCAAAAGCAGGAACCGTGTCTTTCAGTGTAGAATATTTGAGGGTATGTTAGGGTAATATAGAGTTGGTGTAATGCTAATTGTGTTTTTTAAGGTTCAACTTGCGATCAGTCAAACAATGGATACACGAAATGCTCCAAAGTTGGAAGATATTCAGTTGGAATTGGGCAATATTCAAATAAGGTTTGATGGTGCAGGAACCGTGGATTATGTGATCGAATTTGCAGTGAATGTGCTTCCTAATTTGTTGCGGTATCAAATTATGGACGCTTTAGAAGCTCCGGTGAAACAGCGGATTCAGCAGGAGTTGGATAAAGTTAATATCGAGCGAATGATCAAAGAAAATGTTGATAAGATTGATAATCCGGATAGTATGAAATTTTTGTAATGAAAATATAGTTCAGATTATAAGTTTATTTTCTTTTATATAAAATAATAAAGAAATAATGTACATTATATTACAGAGTACAAAATTTAACTAAAATATAAATAGGTAGGTACAATAAAGTAGTTGTGACTACCAATCATCAATAAGATAACAGGAACTCAGAGTCAGGCTGCAATGTATTGATTGGCAATTGTCCAAAGAATGTCTTTATGGGATGCTACACATTATATAATTACTTTAACTAATAAGGCAATTAGTTTCATTTCTTTTACATATATGAAATATTGAGTAGACAAGAATCTTAGAGTATCCCATAGAATGGAAAATCAATAGACTAGTCTTTATGGTTTCAGGCTCACTGAATACGCCTCACTTAGTTAATGACTTGCTAATGAACACTGTTTTTTTTTCTGTAAAATGTAGGCCTTTCAGCAACTGAAGAAAATATCTTTGGTAATTTAAACTTATAACTACTTTACAAAAACAGTCATGTTACTTATTTATGTCTCTTGCTGCAATAGTCAGATCTTTATAGGAAATACTTTCAACTGAGATGTGATATGTAGCTAGCACTGAGTTGTTGCTGCACCATTTGTGGGACATCCACTCACGTAACCGTTAGCGGTGGTGATTCCATCCTTGTTCTCTACGGGAATACTGGGAAACCTAATGTGAGTCTCAGCGTCTGTTTCGAACTCGTCGTTTGAGTCGTCCGAATTGAGGGAAAAATTGACATCGTGGTCTCCAGCCATCCGGAGCGGGGTACTCGGATCATCTTGCGACGGCGATGGTGTTGGACGCGACGACCGAGCTTCTATTCCAGCTGCACTATGATAAAACGACACCTGAGCAAAACTAGTGCTGGCATCCTCTAACAACAATGAGCATAACTTTAAAAATGAAGGTCGTGCTGATGGTTTGTGTTGCCAACAGTATCTCATCAAAGTGTAAAGTTTATCGGGACAGTTCTCCGGCCGTTCCATCACACCCCCGTCGATCACATATCGCAAAACTTGGTCATTCGACAACCCTTGATAAGGCTGCGATGCCAGTGTCGCCATCTCCCACAACACAACTCCGTAACTCCAAACATCACTATTACTAGTAAATACACCGTCTTTGAGACTCTCCGGGGCCATCCATCGCACCGGAAGCAGCCCCTTAGTGCCTTTGCGATAATAGTCCGTTTCATAAATATCACGTGTCATACCAAAATCACCTATTTTTACAGTCAAGTCTTCTGCTACCATACAATTTCTAGCTGCCAAGTCGCGATGAACGAACTTCTTGGCCGACAAGTAAGCCATTCCGTCGGCTATTTCTATCGCCATTTGCAAAATTTGCTTCAAAGTTGGGGGTTGCTTCGCTGTTGCAGGATCATACACTTCAGCATCTGGACGGTGGGAACGCAGGTAGGTCTTCAAGTCACCATTCGCCATCAGCTCCATGATCACAAGTGTAGGTTGTCCTTGCGACACGACTCCCAACAATCTTACAACGTGAGCCGTATCAAAAGCCTTCATAACAGAGGCTTCGTTCAAAAACTCCAAACGCTCCCTACAATTCATCAAACTTGGTCATTGCATTTTCAAACACATTCACATACCTATTGGTGGCGTGCTCATTAACAGTCTTCACAGCACACTTAATTTGTGCCTTTCCGCGAACGTCTTGGGCGATACCCTCGTATACCATACCAAAACTTCCTTGTCCTAACTCCCTAATCAGTTCTATTTTTTTACGAGGCACCTCCCATTCGTCCGGAACATACACACTTGGAACATATTCGGGATTGACCGAAGGAATAAGTCGCATACTTTCCTTGTCGGCTTTCTTTTTCTTGTAAAAACAAAATGCACACAATGCCAAACTCTGGAAGTAATTAATTGTTACAAAACGAGTTACTATTACCATTGTTGATAACTCACTATCACCAGAATGAGCATACAAACAATCAAGGTCACATAAGTGTTAGATGGCCGTTCTTCAATATAAAAATACGCCTCCTTAGAAAATTTCCCATAATCGCCTGACGTTGTTGCAGAAACTCGAACACTGTAATTTCCAGGCGATAATGCTTTCAGTGTATGGATCCTACTCTGATTGATAAAACGCGCGTGTGTAATATATTCTTCATTAGCCTTGGACTGGAAAAAATCTATTACAAAGAAAAATTTAACATTGAAAACTCACATTTTCTTTATCTAAATTTTTATATTCTATTATGTAACAATAGATCAACCCATTTGGAGCATCCGGTTCTTTCCACGTAAGTGACACCATTCCTAAACTTTGGTTTTTAATTTCAATTTGTTTTATATCATCGGCACCTTTCTTCTTTAGTGTCCGATGTGTTTTCATATTTCTACTGCTACAGAAGGGAGCAGTGTCAAGTTTGTCATTGGTTTTTTCTCTACAAGCTTGAACGTTTATCTCATAAACTGTATAGTGGCGCAAGTTTGGCATGTAAAATTCTGTCCCCGTGACTTCAGTACTGAACGAAATATACACACCTGTTCCTGTAATTTTAAGAGAAATTAATGAAAATTATGGCTATAATAAATGTAGTACCTGGTTCAGTTTCATTCAAAATTCGATTCGTATTTGAATGTTCAGTATCAGTGTCACGTCTTTTGCGAGATTCTGAAAAATTCGGCCTAAAAAGTGCAACCATTATTTGAACTTCAAAAAAATTGGCCTACACACTTTCTCACATAAACCGCGTTATGTAATTCATCTTCAAAATCAATTCGTGATTTCTCAACATCTTCATTGATTGATGATGTTGATTGTTTAGTTTCTGAACACTGGCAAGTGTCATTATTTGTTGTCGTTGAAGTAAGTGGAGGAACACTAACAGGGACGAGGTGTTTTGGGCGACTTGACGCTAAAACCAACCACAATTAGGGTGATAATAACTTCAGATTTTGTACTTACGTGATTTGCAATAATGCTCCATTTCATCAAGATCTGGACTAGTACTGTTGTGTCTTTTCAAACTAACAATGTAGTGAGTAAGTTTGCCATTGGGAGATTTAGGTGGTCTCCACGATAACTTTAGAGAGTTACTCGAATTACTAACTACCTCTAAGCCAACAGGCGCCGTTGGAGCTAGATTAGCATAAATTAATTTAATGGCATAATCATACAAGCAGATGACTTACTATCAGGCAACGTAGTAAAATACGAAATGTTACTTTGTGCACCTCTTCTTTCAGTAGCTATCGTGTAAGTTTTTACATAAAATGCGTATTGTGTGTAGGGTTTTAACGATGTAAGTGGATGTGTTACATTCATTTCGTTTTCAGGAATTGCAACATCATCAACACGCCATCTGCAATATTTATTTTGCACTACTGTAACTTCTAATTAAAGAGTAAATACCCATCTCCTCCACAAGCATCTCGACCATCATATAACGTAACATTCTGGGTTGGTGCTTCTATTGAATAGACTATGTAGCCTAGAAGTTTTCGTGGATCGTCAATTTTAAACGGCTCCCATTCCAAAACGACGCCCTTACTATTCACTACTTTGGGTTTATCTACTTTTAAAACTTGGAGATCACCTAAGTGATACAATAAAAAAATACAAAATATAATGATGTAATGATGTTCTACATACATGCAATTTTGTCGCCGTTCGAATTTTTCGCTACTTCTAATTCAGTAACATCGACAATGTGGGTAATATTCTGCAACTTTTCAATTTCTCTGATGCAAAGTTTTGGATTGAAGTGAAAGAATAAACGTCCGGTGTCTATTTTAAGCGTTTTATTATTTTCCCAATTCCACAGTTCTTGGAGATTTTGATTATCAAGTACAACGAAAACATATCTAAAAATTTTCAAACTGTGACAAAAGAAATAAAGGATTTTTGGTACACACTTTTGGCTTTCTAACTGTCTACCGTGTATCACTTTCAAATTTTTCAAAAAATTTAATGAAACCAAAGGAAATGATCTGACTACTTTCAAATAACCGTCGATTTCTTCAATCATGCCCAGACTTTCCTCCAATTCATTAACAACATTTCGGCCGCCCCGAATTTGTATTTCTAGAGAACTTGTAATGTGGGTGCAACCTTTCAACTGTCTTGCTAAATTTATACTATCAACATTCACTCCTGCACACTTTTTTATACAATTCCCTTAAAAGAAAAAAATAAAATTGGAAGAAAAACACAGTTGGGGATTATATACCTTGACACGGTATACAATGAGTATCATTACTCATATAATTAGGTGGACATTCTAAAATACAGGAATTGTTGAAAATTTTGAAAGGTTTTTCGGATCCACCTTGTTGTTGAAAATTCAAAGGTCTCTTCATATTTTTACATTCATCCTTCAAGATACAGCGCCTTTCTAAATACTGTAATAAAATTAAATTTACGTTAAGAAACATTTGAAGTGATCACAAACCTGATAATAATCGCGGGGACAACTTGACATACATTGTTTATTTGCCCCAAATTTCATGCTGAGATTTTTACAAACAGTGCAAAGTTTGGTATCATTTATACTACATCCACCTAAGCAGCTCTCGTCGCAACATTCCAAGTTAGCGTTACAGGCATGTTTGCATTTCGGAGGGCAAATCTTCTGACAGTGTTGTCGATTCCAACAGAGATGAACATCTCTATCGAAATTTTCGCTGTCGGAGCGGTGAGGTGCTTTATGGCAATGTATATTATGTGCCACGCTATTGCTCGATTCGTCCTCCTTTTCATCGCCGGGACAAATCGGGCATTCATTTGGTGATTTTAAGTTTTTTATAAAATGTTCTCCTTTCTCATGGGCTATCGCTTCCCAATCGATCGAGTTCACGAAGCACAATGAAGGATTTTTATCGATCCTTATCAGCCCGCGAGTAATGTCAGTCAATGAATACAGACCAATTTCTTGTAAACTAGACATTTCGAATACGACGAATGAATAAGTGTAAAACGTTGAACGTCCTCGAATGACGCTCAAATTCGGGAATAACTGTCCTATACTTCGCAATCCGTTCACTCTGTACAGTAATAAATAATCGGTTATTTCGGTTAGGTTTGGAAAACTTAAAAGGGATAACTCAGTCTCGTTCACATTATCAAAAAGTAAAATCTGCACAAAGCCTTCTACCACGTGGCAACCTTTTAACCTGTTGAACGAATCCAGGGTATTTCTAATATCCACGCTTTCACAAACTGCAACAAACAAAAATGTTAGCGAAAGTACAAAAGCGGCATAATCAATATATCAATATGCACTCCAATTAACTTGCTTAAATATGAAAGCAAAAAACGCGCTATTTTTAGATAATAAACACCATTAATTACAATTTTTATCTCCATGCTTTTGAACAAAAAATTAAACGCCACCAACTATATTTTTAGATCTTTCATATTTGGAGCAGATCACCAAAAATAAAACTACTACAATCTACTACAAATGCATAAAAAACCACATTCGCATTATCATAACTTACGAAAATGGTCAATGAATAACACAAACGCAATTATCACTTGATGAAAGGCGAAATAAATAGATAGCTTTTATTATTAACAATGCATTTTCCAATACAGTTGTGCTCAATTTCTTTTAAGATAAGAGGATTTGTAAAATGTTCCAGCAACAATAGACGAGAAGCAATAAAGGAGAACGTGAAGTGATTTTAATGAGTGAACTGGTGTTGCAGCCGTTCATAACTGTACAAGTGTTGAGGAACTGGCTGTAACAATATCAGCAAAAGCTAAATATTTGATTTGAGTCGGTTGATGATACCGAGGCGGCTGCTGGAGTCTCAGGTAGCAGTCGCCTGAAAAATGACGTAAAAAACAGCGTCGGAACTAATTAAGGGTAGCATGAAGCACACTAGTTGTGAACTAAGAAGGTCGTGAGATTGAAGAAGCCTACAAGAATGCGACCGTCCGGAATGCAGTTTAACGTTCGGAATTTGCGAGACGCTGTGTTTGTGCAGCCCAACGGGGTTACTGGCCATCCGAAGGACAAAACCAGTGGTGGAGCTTGTAAGTACCTATGCAATATGCAAGAGCTCAATTTTCCTGCATGAAACATCAGAATTCTCATTCAGGAAATACCGAAAATAGTACGAGAGGACAAAGACATAGACAACTGCTCCCAAGAGTGAAAGAAGAAACGCTATTTAACTGCCAAAACAAATAATAAATCAATTTTATCTCGATGCTTGGTGGGTGTAATAGGAATATTTGAAGATTATGTTAATATAGGTATTAACTAATCGTTATAAAATATTGTCAGGTGGGCTGTCACAACCGCCGGATTTTCTATGAGTCAAGTTTATCAACCTTGATCCAATTTAAATCTTCTTTATTCAAAACATTTCTGGCAATGTACACCTATGGTCGGCGCTAGATATGTATAAGAAGCGAAAAGTGCACCTTTACGGAACAATTCCTTCTATAATAAGTTTAAAGGAATGGAAGATGTACAACCGTCAAATTCATCATTGGAAAAATGGTTAATAAAAGCTTCCCAGAATTAACTTTTCCTGAAGAAAATTAATTACACTACAAAGTCATAGTTTTTGCATTCAACTTTTTATCAACAACGATGTAAACAATCATGTTTTAAGGCGATTAAAAAATTTAATCAGCTGTACATAATGTAAATCAGCGAAAAATATCAGTAACGTAATGCGCTGCTTATACAGGATGGTTTTAAGATAATAGGCAACATTTTACTAGTGTAAACCATAACATACAGAGTCCTAATAAAATTTTTCGCACCGTTACTGAGAAAAAATACATCTTACGGGCTGTGTATATCGTCCAGAAACTCTTGAGTCGTTGCATTTGATATCTGTTGCTTCAAAAATGCATTCTCGTACTTACTTAATTGTGATTCAGCGTTGTATATTAATGATTGAGTTGAAAAAAGACTTTACAATCGTATATTTATGGCAGCGAATTATTTTAAAGGTCCGAGTTACGAAAAATGTTTGTTACGACTTTTTTATCTTTTGTTTCAAAACCGCCCTATATAAAGTAAGATCCCATTTACTTTGATTGAAAAATGTCTCAAAAATAAATTTAAAAAATATTATTTAAATAAAAGAACTGAATTAAATTCGCGGTAAATTAGGGTTGAAGGTTAATCCGGCAGATGGCGCTTTCAATCGTCAAACGGTCATTCGCCCGTAAACAACTCTATGGCAATAAGAAATTGAAGTCATAATATTTACTTCAAAATGAAATTACGTTTATTATTTTAATTAATGATATTGATATGAATTTTGATTAAATCGCCATCATTGTGCTGAGTTTAAATTAGGTTGGTAATGACTTTAAAACAAGATGGTAGTTACGTGAAATGTCAAACATTGACAAAAATATTGTAGAAGTGGTATAATTATTTTGTTAACCATAGTTATATAATTAATAATATTTTTTTCGCAGATTTTTGTTTTCCTCTGGCTAAGATTCTTCTCCAAACTGTACGTAAGTAAATTTTTCCAACCCTTTCCAAAGTAGGTTACAATTACTTACAGTTACTTGCAAATCGTCAATATTGTGTTTTACACTGCTCATAAAGTTACGTTTTTCTATTGAGGATTACACAATTCAGCTAATAACTCTAAAGATGCAATCGTATGGCTTTTAGAACCATCCTGCCAATTGAATTTTATTGAAATTTAAAAGGTTCTGTTTATTGTTAACACGAATAAAACTAAGTTTGTCAATCCCGGATTAACTAAAACGATGCCATTTGATAATAGTTACTAGAATTTTCAAAGTATGTTTGTTAAGAAATAAAGCGAGTTTGTCAACCCCGGATTAAGTGGAAAAATGTAAACATTGTACTGTCTTGATGAAATCGTATCACGTTGATCCTTACAACTCCGGTTTGCCTCAATGTGAGTGTTAATTCATTGGCCATTTTGTGTGTGTGGTAGTTGGTGATCTTCTGAAAACACTCGAGTGACATTCCATCAGATTGCAGCCAGTTGCGAAACATTGCTACTTGCTACAGATAATAAAAAAATCGAAAATTTCCATGATCACTGAGTAAACAACAATGTAAGCCATGAGTCATGGGAGTCAGTTGTCTCCCAAATCGCAAAGACCGGCATGAACCGGCGTTATTTCCCTGTTGGCCGGATCCTCGTATCCTACTCACTTTCACCTCCGTTTTGGTGTGCGAGGTCAGAACTGGGTTGCAGTTGGTTCGCGCCAACGAAGACTGCGCTGCCGAAGAGGATGAATAAAGCGGCCGCGTGGAGCACCGGCCCTGGGCCGAGCCAGCTGAAGGAGCGGCGCTGTTGGGCCGTTGTGGCAGTGCCGGTCGCGGCCATCAGTGGCAATACATAGACATGGGTCTGCTGGGGCCCGTGCAAGGTTCGCCAAGTCGCGTCGTACAGAATTTCTGTAAACTTATGACGCAGAGCTCGATCAATGTAAACATGTTATTCACTTCGGCCTGGATGTCCAAAAACCAACTGCCGGTGCTCGCTCGAGGTTACACCTGAAACAAAAGGAGCCTTCAGACCAGCACTACACACGAGTTACTATTTTCAGCAAAAATTGAACGTTCATTCGTACGTTTCCTCGAATGAGACGCGACTGGGGCCCCACCGGTCGGCTTTTAACACCTAACAATCACCAAATTTGTCATTATTTAATTAAACACAAGTTAACGTAGTACTGTGGAGATCCTGGTCGGGCAATGAACCTTCGTATTTACACGTCAACCGTTCTTTACGATCGCGACAAGCTGATAATAGTTTTATTTTATATAATTATGACATATAACAAATAAATTGTTTGCGTATTAAAACCGCTACACAAATATTTCTTATTTTCAACAAATGATCATTCTGACAACCAATCAAGACGTGCTGCTGATTTGGAGAAAAACCACGTGGATTCACCATGCCACTAAAAGTTTTAACAACCTTTTACCTTTTACTCTGAGAAAATTGGAAAGATTGAGCTTCAGAGAAAAATGATAGATTTTAAATACCTCTTGTCTGCTTGCTAATTTAAGTGACAACAAACTTTTAGAAACAACTAATTGTTTCGTCACGGCCCTGGACACCAGTAAAAATGTTGAAATTAGAGTATAAAAAAATTGAGATTTAATAGTTCACATTAAGTAATTTTTTTATCTTGGAATCGTTTTATTGTCCTCAGACAAGGTCGGATGAAAGATCAATAGGTACGTTTGAAGATAATAGGCCCAAGTTTAAGACAAAATGCAATTTGTCGACGCAAAACCGTAATTACGTTGCAGAAAGAACGATTGTCAACCAATACCTACCTATAATAAAGTTTGAACATTCGTAGTTTTCCAAGTGGAAGGAGTAGAACATAAAACTTATTTATTAATAATTACAATTAGCACAATTGGCTACGCCTACAAGTGTTTTTATTCATGCGTAGGCTCTGTGTACTTTTACGCTACACGGTCACGAAAGAAGATGATTCTGACCTTTTTCAGAATGAAATAGCATAGCCTTACGACTTAGACAATAACACGTCTGGGGTCAGTGTTATTTTTGTTCACGTTACGAAGTTTGAACAAAATGAATTATTTAATCTTAAAACTATTTTTGTTTTGTTTTCGGAGGGTAAAAATGGACTTGCTAAATACAAGTCCTACACCCACAAGTGGTTGTCAATACCAATTTGGGTTCTTTTGCTTCTGTGTGTTTAAGTTTAGAAGATTAAGTACTGGCCGCATTTAGAATAAAAAAATATTTTTACAAAAATTATCTTATAAAATCCTTCTCTGAATGAAATGTATTAGTTTATTTCACTGTTGTCACCTGTTGCGTTGCGTTTTTATTCTTGTTGTAGAATAACGTACACCATCCGCCCACGTCAAAATGGTAATATCGATTGAAATCGGTAGTAATAGTAAAAATTTTAGCACACCATTTCGATAAAATGGTTGAATTGAAATAGCACTGTAATAAAAAAATTAATCGAAATTTATGCTTTTTGGCGTATAATCTTGTAGTAATTTAGTACTAAACCTCCCTGTTGATCTATTCTGGAGCAAAACAAATACATTGTTAGGGACAATTTAAAATCCTTTTGATGTGTGCTACATGCTACATCAGTCTCTGGAGACATTTTACCGCTGAAAACAAATTTAGAAAGAGATTTAACATTTTGTGTACAAGTTGCCTTGGTAACAGAATATATTAAAAGTGGTAAATTGTCTCGTGAAAAAGATTCATCCTTAAAATGTACATAACAATGTCTTAGTCATGATTAAGGCTCGGATTATATGTATGTAAAGTGCATAATTGTTATTAAGAGGTAAGTAGTAATTGTTATTAAGAGGTAAAATGGAAGTTTTCTACGCATATCTAATTTTTTTTTGTTTCAAAAATAACCCAAATAAAAAATGCATATTTTTTATATTTTGGCAACTTCGTGCATATTTTAGGAAATATTGCATATTTGTGCATATTTTCTTGAAAACACTTTCCTATTAAAAATTTTAGTTAAAGTTAAGTTGTGCATATTTTCTTCAAATTATAAATTTCCGATTAAAAATTTCAGTTCAAGTTAAAAATTGGACACTAAGAAAAATGATCCGATTACAAAATGTGTTAAAGAAAAAACAACCGATAATTCGTAAGCCGGACTCAAAGAAGTAGTATCCTGCGGAGTGTTTTCTTTTTAAATTCGTTTTATACAGGGCAAATATAAAGTGGAACCAAGCGGTTTTTTTTAATCATTTGCCTCCAGAAAAAAATTATTAATATAAATTAAAGTAATATAAAAAATGTGATCGTATATTTGAGGACGAAATTTTGTTTAGTTTTTGAGTTATACGATTTTTTGTAGAACTCAAAAACAAAATAAAATTTCAAAAACTTTATTCTTGAAAAACCACATTTTTATAGTACCTACTTTATTATTCATTAATTAGTTTTTCCAAAACATGAATAAGCAAAAACGTTTGGTTCCATACTTTTTATCCACATGGTATGGGTATAATCCTTCCATGCGGATAAGTAGTTGCCTACAACTGAATTTTAGCAAAATTGTTTAGAGATGTGATCTGAAAAGTACAGATTTTTTAGAAACGCTTAATTACTAGGTTATTAAAATGGCTTGTCTGAGGCAAAACCAATTTATTTATTCTCTTTCGTTCATCGTGTGCAGTTCAAGATACCGAAAATTCAAAGTTTAGTGTACTCGAGGATAAAAAATTATCCCAACTTTGATTTTTTATTGTTAAAAGTTATGCATATCGACGCATATTTGGCATATATTGGAGCATATTTGTTAACATCTTGTGCATATTTTTGTGAAAATACGTGCATATATAGGGGCATATTTTACGGATTTTTCGTCCATGTAATCCGAACCTTAGTCATGATTATATCTTCCAAGTGATCAGAAACAGGCGTAGAGGAAACCCACGACTTTATTTATTATTAAACTCTCATTGAAACTTAATTTGAATCAATTCGATTTTTTTAAGTGCATCATACAATACAAAATTTGTATTTCGATACATCAATCCGTAAGAAAATCATTAAAATAATTGCACGTTTAGTGATCAGTTAATTGCAATTAAATTAAATTGCAGAGCTCAACAGGTGGAATCAGTAGAGAGAAACTAATTATCAATTTGGAAATACCTAATTTTGAATTAAAATCAAATCCTCAAAAGGTATTAATTAATTGCCCCTTTTAATCTATTTGTCTGTGATAGGCACTGAATTTTATCATCCCTTCTAAAAATGGTTGCAGCCTCATTTTCTGCACTACATTTAAAACGTTTGCTTCATAAAAAACACTTCATTAGATTTTTCCTACAATATAGTGCTCCAATGGAAAAACGCTCGATTCCAATTTAAAATTCAAACTACAAGCGTACTAAATTACAGTTGAATACATAAAACATGTCACAATCTGTGTTAAAATAGTTAATTATCCTGTAAAAACTATATAAACGTGACTCGTTATGTTTGTACACAGCTTAAAAAAAACAATTAGTAATTAGTTCAGAGGGTAATTAAACTTAAACGAAGCAACCATCCAATTACTTATGAGTATGATAACAATTATTAGAAACTGAAATTTTGGACAATTTTGATATAACAAACAAATTTGCAAAAGCCACATAAAACAAAATCAAATAATTGCGATAAACAGGCAAATACAAATAATACCTTTTTAATGAAAAAAGGCTTCGGAAAAAGTTGGTAGCTTGGGAATTACCGTAAAACTTTTTAAGCTTTTGCAATGAAGCCTGGATTCAAAATATTTAACAGAAAACGTGTATTTGTGTTGTAAACTTGCTTTAATAGCTTCCGGAACAAGGCAACCTTATCCGGTGGTAACCAACAGTGGAGAAATATATAAAAGTTTCTTGTAAAAAATCTCGAAAACTCGCAAACAATTAATAGTCGAAAATATCTTAGACAAAACTTTGAAGAAGTTATCTTTATGGAAATTATAAATAATAATTCAGAGTAAAAAAACAAAGTTATTTATCTTGTTTGTCTCAACAATTTGCGAGTTTTAATGCAAATTCGATTGTGTTATTAATATATTTGTTACTTTAAATCGATCAGACTGATTATTTATTGCTCAAGCTCAGTCAATTGCAACAAAAAGAAGATAATGTAAACCAATTTCGATTCAAACTAATAAACCAATGGCTAGACTATTAAGTCGTATATTATGCCAAGTTTTCGTCTTATTAAAGAAAACATTATACTAGAGCTCCCAAAATATACTTAGTGCAGAATATTTACTTGTCTAATTACCCCCACAAAATATAAATACATATCCTATACATCTCTATTGAAAATGATGTCCTTGCAAATTTAATCATCATTCTCTTACGAGATGGGAAATACCGAAACTTATTTGAAATATATGTACCTACTCGTATATATTACAATAAAATTGAGTTATTGTTCAGGTGTGAGTCGCGCTTAATCTATAACAAAACTGAAATATGAATGAAACATGATTGTACAATATTGTATAATTAATTTTATTATTGCATGACAGTCTAAAAAAACTTTAACTTTTAAAACCCTACAGTACACATGAATATTAATTATTTAATGAGTTACGAGAAGTTTTCTCCCACTTATCCTCAATTCCACCAACATCGTGACTTTGGGGAATATATTGTAACAAAACTCCATTTGTTAAAAATGAAGAATTAAATCGTAAACATCTGAAAATATAAACCTGAAGAGTGATAAAATTGACGGTGGAAAACATTAGAGAGTTGTCTCAAAAACGATGATCCTTTTGAATGAAGTCTTCAGGCTTACAAGGCTATAATTACTATATTAGACTAACAAGTTTGTTATACGAACACAATATCATTTAATTATCATTTCATATTCATATTACAATTTCAGTCTAATTAAGGTTTTAGAATTTGGCTAGATCTATTTTTAACATAAATTTTCGTAATAAACAACATAATTAAATCCACAAAATGAAGCCTCGATATTGCAATAGATTTTATTGGCG